AATCCATTAGTAATATAAGGAGCCTATTATTTATAAGCTACTTTGGTTAGGAAGAGATTTTTTATTATTCCAAAATCTAGTTAAATGTTTAATTAAATATCAAAAAAATTTTAAAAATTGTTGTAAAGGCTTAGAGGATAAAATAAAAACTAACTTTAGGGCACCTGTGGCTCAGTTGGTTAAGCATCTGACTTTGGCTCAGGTCATGATCTCGTGGTTCATGAGTTCAAGCCCTGTGTCGGGCTCTGTGCTGACAGGTAAGAGCCTGGAACCTATTTTGGTTTCTGTGTCTCCCTCTCTCTCTGACCCTCCCCCCCACTCATACTCTGTCTCTCTCTCTCTCAAAAATAAATAAAACATTAAAAAAAATTAAAAAAAATAAAAATTAACTTCAACAGAACTGGAGATGATACTGAGGGGGATAGATTTTATTTATCAATGTAGTGACTAAAATATTTATAATGACTAAAATATTTATAAAAAGGAGCAACTTCAAGAAAGGAAAGAAAAATGAAGAAAAAAAAATATGCTCAAAGTACTTATCAGGAAGGGTTATAGAAACTTGAATAACATTCCTAGATCATATACTTCTAAAAAAGAATATAACAAATATTCAGAGTTCCACATTATCTCAGCCTTTGATGTTCACAAGTCTACAAGTATGGTTATCCCCTAAATCACAGTTTAGGAGTTAGGTTGCCTGCATATTCATTTTATCATCATTCACATTCACAGCAGTACTACAAAGAAAACGCAACCCACAGAAACCTTCTGCATATTTAGCTGAGGTTCAGAGGACAGCAAAAGATAAAACTACATTTTTCTCCATTTCTCCTCTCCCACACCTTTGCTTTATAATCAGGAAAAACCCTCAATGGAAATATCCAGACCCCTGGAAGCAGGATTCGGGGAACCAGCAAAATGCACACAAGTCAAGACAATGTAGATCCAAGAGAGAACGTTGATTTGGTGATGAATCTTTACTGGTCACCTTTCTGCATTAGGAAAACAAGGTAGTATGTCTACTTGTGATACTCCCAGTCAGGGCAGCTCCTCCAGTTCTGCTCAAGACTCTGTCCCAGTCCTTTAGCTGATGCTGCTCCCAACATACAGATGAAGGGCCCAGGTGAAAGAGCTCAGGCCTCCAATCTAATCCATGACTCAACTGGAACACAACAGTCCACATGAACCACTCAATGCTCATTCAAGTTGTACATTAAATGTCATGCCTGAACATCAAGTCTGGGTTACTCCTGAAGCAGGCTTCGAGAGATCAGCATCCTCATCACTTCATTGCTACCTGCAAGGACAGAAAGAATAAGGATTTAGTTGCAGCAAAGTCTGAGAGCTCCGTAAACCTCTAACTAGGGTGCTCCAAGCCTCACTCAGGATAGGAGTAGGTGTAAACTACAATTGTTGCTTTACCACTGAGAGGGATGGGATTATCACAGACTGCTTTCCAAAGCACATAAAAATGTCAGGAAGTAAGAAATAAACGTACCCTTAAAAACACCTCTCTTGGGAGAGGGAAGATGACTGAGTAGGAAGATGCTGAGCTTACCTCCTCCCATGGACACACTAAGGCTGAAACTACATACAGTGCAGCTAACTCTGAGACCCTGAACTCTAGCAGAACAGCTATTCCACACCTAAAGATATAAAGAAAACATCACATTGAGGAGGGTAGGAAGGGCAGAGATGGTCAAGAGCCAAAACACCCCATTGCAGTGACCCATAAGCAGGAAGATATCACAGGTGTGGAGGTCCTTCCTGAGGAGTGAAAAGTTCAAGTCTCACATCAGGCACCTTCTGCTCTGGGGATCTTCACTGGAAATATGAGGCCCCATATTGTCTGGCTTTGCAAATTAGTGGGGTTTAACTCCAGGAGAGCCAGGGAGCTACAGGAAACTGAAAGGGCCCACACACAATATCAGTCACTCGGAGCTCAGGACAGAGGTAGTTGTTTGAAAAGCTCCTGGGCCATACATGAGGGAGACTTAATGACTAATGTTTGAGTGTGTGCCAGAGGGACAGGGATCTGTAGGAACTTTGGGAATGAAAGTGTTGGCAAGTGCATTTTTCTTGTACTCCTACAGCTTAGTTAGCTAGATGCTTGCGGGACCAAGATCTGACACTCTCCACCTACCTTGCTAGCACTGTTTGTCTCACCCTGGCATTCCTCCGCAGACCTTCCCTGCTTAACACACTCAATCCAGCAGATAGATGTCGCTTCAAGCAGATACCACCCACCATATCCAGCAGGTCACCTTGGATCAGTACCCGCTCCTGCCCAAAGTGACTGCTGCCCACTAGCATCCCCAGACGACCCAGAGCTGGGCCTGGTAGCCAGCCACAGTGGGGGCTAACCCCACCCACCAGCACAGATACAACAGTAGGACACATACATCCTATATAGGGGACACCCCTGGAATGCTTGGTTCTAGTGACCAGCGAGATGCCTTCTATACAGGACATTACTTTCAGGACCAGGAGACACAGCTGGACTATCTAATACACAAAAACAAAAATGAGAAGACAAGAATTGCTCCAAATGAAAGAACAAGGCAAAACCTCAGTAAAAGAACTGATAAATAGAACAGATAAATAAAATAGATAAGCAATCTACTTGATAAACTTTCAAAATAATGATCATAAAGATGCTCATGGCCTTGAGAGAAGACTGGATGAACTTAGTGAGAACTTCAGCAAAGAGACATAAAATATAAAACAAAAAGTAGTTGAAGAGTACAGTAATTGAAATGAAAAATACACTAAAGGGAATTAACATCAGAAGATTCAGAATGGATCAGCAATCTGGAAGACAGGGTAGTGTGTAAAGTGCCCAAGATGAGCAGCAAAAAGAAAGAGAGTTAAAGAAATAGGTTAAGGGACCTCTGTGACAACATCAAGCATACTAACAGTTGCATTATTGGGGTCCCAGAAGGAGAAGAGAAAGAGAAAGATGCAGAAAACTTATTTTAAGAAGTAATAGCTGAAAACTTCCGTACTCTGGGGAAGAAAACAGACATCTAGTTTCAGGAAGCAAAGGAAGCCCCAAACAAGATAAACCATGACATATAATATATATAATATAATATAATATAATATAATATAATATAATATAATATAATATAAT